ACCTTATGGATGAAGAAATAGTTAAAACTCTTGGACACTTTCACAGAGGTAGTAACAGCGAGGTTCAAGTCCAAGTTTGTCTGGTTCCAAAGGTTGATGGCTTTTCATTGTGATTCCCTCCCTGATATGCTTCTAGACTAGGACTTTTTTGCTTAACTCTGGAAAGAAGAGCAAAAGAAAATTTTGGTGGCTGTTTTAAGTAAAACAATTGTGAAGGCTAAGGTTTTTCTCAATTCATTTGTATTTCTGTTAATACTTTTTCCCATTTTTGTAGTTAATTTTAAAGTTTACCATGCTTTTGCATACATTGGCCTTGGTTTGAGCAGCAGGAATTCTATTTCACTTTTTTTGAGACAGGGTGTATTTATCAGGCTGTGTAATTCAGGCTGGCCTTGAACTCACTATGTAGTATAGGCTAGCCTTGTAATTGGGGCAATCCTCATGCCTCAGTGCCCCCCCAGTGCTGGAATTACAGGTCTGTGCCATCACATGGCTATTCCACTTTTTATGTAAATGAGGCCCAGAAATGTTACCCATAGACCTAGAAAATTATTGGACTAGAGGAGGTAGAATTGCATACTACCTCTATTGCAATAGTTGGACTAGAACTTTAGAATTTATTATCTTTTTGTCATCCACAGGTTGCCTTTTGGCCAATATTTTACTATTTCAAGGATACAGAAAATAGAAAGAACTGTATTATACCCATATAACCAGCACCTAGATTGTAATTGCCAACATCACTCATCATCTATCAATGCTATACTTTGTTGCTGTTGTTGTACAGGAGAATGTACAGAACTTTTATACTGACATTCCCAGCCCTTTTCTTCTTTTGAGAAAGGGTCTTGATAAATTGCCCAGGCAAGGCTTGAATTTGTGATCTTACTGTCTCTGCTTCCCAGAGTGCTGGGATTACAGGTGTGTACTACCATGCCCAGCTCGATTGTATCTTTTAAGTACTTTCTACTAGATTTCCTGGATCTTCCTCATTTACTGTATTTTTTAAAATCAAGAGAATGAATTGAAAAATTTTAGTTTTAAAAAACTTGGAAATAACCTAAAGATCTGAATACCTGCTACATGCCTAAGATGTGATAGAATATAAATAAGACAGCATTTATATCTAGGAAGAATTTACAGTGCAGTCCAGGAAGACAGTAGATGATGAACAACTTTTGAGCATATAAATTAGAAGAGTCCAAGTATGTGATTTCTGATTTTATATATAAAATTATGAACTGCTGATAAAATATTATAAATGTATAGGTTTTAAGTGATAAATGTACTTCTGAACTGCAGGATACACATATATTCTCATATTGGAACAAAGATTTCAGATGAGATTGGGCACATTCAGGATACTATGGCCATAGACAGGAACAAAGAATTCAAATTTATTTTCAGCTACATTCTATTCTACTTTTTCATGTCTAAAATTTTCCTGACATAGGAATTGGCTCACAATCACAAAAGGGTACACAGTAATAAGATACCTTTTTAAGTCCCCTACCTACTAGCTTCATTCCCCAGAAGCAACCTAAGACCAGAATGTTTCAGTCTAGAGCTACATATCGCATATAAAAAGCTTACCTATGCATATATGAACATGTACTAAAATATAAATGGGGACATATTATACACACTGCTCCATACTGAGTACTTTACTTTGGATCCCTCACACCATGATGTAAATCAGCCTTCTTTTTTTTTTTTTTTTTTTTGTCTTTTTGAAACAAGGTCTTGCTATATAGTCCAGGCTGGCCTTGAACTCATGTGATCTTCCTGCCTCCACCTCCCAAGTGCTGGGATTACAGGCATGTGCAACCATGTGGTCATCCACCTTTCCTCCTATGCTGCTTCTTCTTTTGTACTCAGGTCATAAATATTTGTTCCTTACTTATAAATGGAAGAACTTGAGATGACAGTGTTCTTACCAATTCATCATGAGCACTTTTGTAAAGAAAAAACTGAGTCAGATATAGTGACTCATGTTTGTAATTTTAGCAGTTGGGAGGCTAAGGCAGAAGGATCACAAGTTTGAGGAAGGCCTGGGCTATACAATGAGTTGAAGGCCAGCCTGGTAGTAAGATCTTGTCTCAAAAACCAAAAACAGCACAACTGGCAATGTCAGAAGTTGTTGACTTGAGTCTTTTACAGCTCAGCATATTGATATGCATTACTTTTGATATCTCGTGGTTATACTTTTTTGCTAGATGGTTAAGAGCAAGATAAAGCAAGACCTATATAACTCAAAATGTAACTTTTGTATCTGATAAGGTCAGTCAAGTACACTCAGGATTTATCCTATAACGCTGTACTGCACTTTGTAGATCCTTTGTAAGTGTCAGCCATTTGGATGAGTCACGGCCATTGCTTTACCAATCTGCTCTCTGTGAAAGTCTGAGAGAATGTTTTCTCTCCCTGTGACTCTACTTAGGTACACTCTAAATCATCAATCACTATCCTCTGTGGCCCCATAATCTCCTTGAACAGAAAAATTTGGGACACCACTGAATTACAGGATGTTTATAGTACAGGTTCTCTTATGTCCTGAGTCCTCACTGACCTTGAAGAGCTAGGGCCAAAATATTGGCTATCTTTGTAGCCCTTCTTTTTCTCTAATTTTTGGTCTGCAAACGTAAGTTATTAACCATCCAGAAGAGAAGCTTATTGATATTATCACACTATAACACAGTTGAGCTTAACATCACTATCTGTCTGAATATTAAATGCTTTAGATATAACACAGAACAGGTATTTCCCAAAAATTATTGATATTCTAAACTTTAAATCCCTATAGAATGTGAAAAAACAGTAACACATTTTTACACAGAAATTTAGAAATCTAACTAGTTCTGCAGATAATCCATTTCTATTATGGACTATTGGACCATATTGGGCTATTTTGTTGAATTCAAGCATCTACAACATTTGAATAGCAATGGATCACCCATCCCTAACAAAGCAAAACAAAAGGGGGATATAAATGAAGGAACATTTTGTAGTGAAAAAAAAATATCTGTATATACAAAATGGGATAGACATTTCACTTTTTTTTTGTATTTTAGGGAAGGGTCTACAGGGTGTTCAGGGTTTCACTACTAGATCAGACTCACAGATTCTCCTGTTTATAGCCTCCCAAGTGCTGGGATTACAGGTGCACGCCACCATACCGTCTCAATTGCCATCTCAGCATGCCCTGCGGTGGGGCCGGCATGACTGGCCCAGGGATTGAACCCCCAGCCCCTGTGCCTGCTTGCAGGCACTTTAATCCACTGAGCTATTTGGCTGTCCCTCAAAATAGAATAGATATACAGCTACTTTTTCTTAATTCAGTGAGAAGATTTGTACAAATTGTGTTTTGAGAAGCTATCATATCTGCATCTTGTACTCTGAATAACTACTACAAAGACAACAATATGAAATGTATTAATTATTGTAACTGTCCTAATAACCTGTTTTGAAACTGTCTCATTGCTATTTCTTTCTCATCAAAATTACTAAAAAGTCAAAAACATATTGAAAAGTTAAAAAAATTCTACCTAAAAGCCAACAATAAGAGCTGCCTGAAATCATTTTTGAATTTTTTTTTTCAGAACTGGGGACTGAACTCAGGCCCTTGTGCTTGCCAGGGAAACACTTATTCTACTGAGCTATCTCCCCAGCCCTCATTTTTGAAATCAGATTTATCTGGAAATAATTAGGGATGAGAGATCTGAAAGATAAAGCAGTCTTCATCTGAATGGTCAAACTACACTGGCTTGTTAAGTGAATGAAGACTTAGACTGGAGACCTGGATTAAAGTTACAAATTCTCATCAGAACATTCTAAGTTTTTAAGAGATTTGAATATATATTCTTTCACTCATTTTCACTTTGCTTTACTGAGTCACATCCTGATTCTAAATAAAATTAAGTAATCCTCTGATATATAATCAATCAATTCATCCATTAAATAAATTTTAAATTGCTTTTTGGCCCTTAGAATTACTGTTTTATTTACCTTCCTTGAATCCCTTCAATTAGAAATGAAAGATCACTGATAAGCTTAACTTTTTATTAATAACCTTGGAACAAATGAATTAATAATAATTTCTTATAGTTATACAGCATTTTACAATTTTGAAAGAACTTTCACATATATCAATAAACCCTCACAACATCCCTGTGAGGTAGGTAGGGTAGGTGT